TTTACTTAGAGCAGTAACAATAGTGAAAAGCAAAAGAATGGGGAAGAAAAAGGATAAGCTATACGTTCCATATTCTAACAAAGAAAGCAAAGAATAACCGGTTTCTTTGTGTTTACAACATCAATATCCATGTGCTTCTTATAATAGAAAGCAAAACAGAATCATTCTCCATCTAGTCCACAGAGGTTTAAAAGTAAACTAATCATTACAGCTATTGCAAAGATGTTGTACGTGGAGCACAAAAGACAGTAAAAGGAGACATCTGCAGGATTAGGAGCATCTCTGTCATGACTCAGTAAGGACAGTTCCAGAAGCAGCCCACCAGCGACACAGAAGGATCAGCTCAAGACCTACAGATGCACTGGGTTCAATAAATTTCTGAGCAGGTTGTCCAAAAGTGTAAATACAAAGAAAGATGTCTCCCATTCTAATACCTCCACGACATGGCAGCCCAGCTCTGAGCAGAAAGAACCATTCTGGGTTGGCCATCCCAGAATATAAAGTCACCCTTCTGATCCTCTCTGGCAGGCCTCTGGAACGGAACTGTTGGGTAAGAAATACTAGTACATGTGTGTTTGCCACTTACAAGTATTAGTGGCATTTCCAGAATACACAGCTCCAAGTCTGTATTCAATAAATAACAGCTGAATTAAATCACACTGAAATCTCCCTGAGCCTTAGTTTCTCCACTTAAGAAATTGATGGCAACAAATTTTCTGTCAATCTTTTTTATTTTTAAACATAGGAGTCACAGGCTCTAGTTACCCAATGAAGATACAAAAAATAGGAAACTCAAAAAGCAACAGATAAAGTGCCTTAGCCAGCTATTGGACATCACATTACTATGAATGGAGTTACAGGACAAGCAAAAATACAGTAGGGCTGAAAATATCTCTGCGAAGGCTTCTGAGGAATTAACACCATGCACAAAGATTCTATGAAAGATTCTATTGTGAATTACTGACTGGGTCAGAGGCAAGATCCCCGGATGTCCTTAAAGAACATAGTCCTCTAAGCAAAACAACTGCATTTTTCATAAGCTGTGCCTGCTTGCAAAAGCCCTAACTAGAGGTCACTAGGGAGAAGAAGACGTCCCTACCAGTAGAAAAGGAGATTCTACTCCCTCCTGTATCCCCAGTCCATTTGAACGAAATTCTTCCCTAATTGTAAGTAGCTTCTGGAGATGCTAGAACATATAGGCTGGGAAAGCTAAGGAACTACATCTACAAGGCTATGGGGACTCCATTATCCACACTAGGTGAAGAATTTCTTGGCTATTGCTTTGGAGTCTCCCCCCTCTTACTAGTACTCTCTCACCCAAAGTAAGCCTCAAGACTCACCGGTTCCCCAGAATGAACTTGGGTAGAATCATGGGAGTTTGTAGGAAGGGGATAGTTGTCTCACCCAGAGAAGAATTCTCACAACATTCCTAGAATGGAAGCTTCCCAGGAAACAAATTTCCATCAATCAAAAACAGGGCCCTGAAGATTAGGGATATTCACAGTTGACAAAGGAATGAATAAGAAACACAGAAGAAAGTACACTGGCATTTCATAAGTGAACCCAGAAGGAGTTGAAAGGGTCTACTTGATGGCCTGTGGGCTGAAGATCTTCAGGAAGTCTAAACTGCACTCCATTCCTGCCAAACTGCACGAAAATTCCAAAATCAGAGGCAGTAGAGTGCAGGAGACCAAGTACAGACCTGGAAATCCACAGGAGGACAAATTTAAGTTTTACTCTGGGTTCTGCCAATATACCACTGGACAGCCTCTCCTTTCACATCCCTAGCAAAAGCTTTTTTGCAAGGCTTGTGCAAAGGTCAAAGCTGACAATACCCATAAGAAGGCATGATGCAGCAACACAGACACTAAAACAAATCGTCCACTCCTTTTTTCTGTTGGTGAAATTACACAAATTCCCCCAACCCTGAATCTTTTTTTTTTTTTTTTAGCCTTGGAAATATAAAGCCAAATTTATCTGTAGGCTCCAATTTGCATAGAAGACAAACCAACCACCTAAGCAACACCCTGGGAATTAGTGACTAACATATATAGAACTATATCCCCCAAACATCCACTTCCCCAGAACTGTAATAAAGGTTTTAGAAAGATACTGAACTTTATCCCTTGCAGAACTAATAAGCTAGGAAAATACATTTTCACTATTCAACTGGAAACAGGATTGAGCTACAAGAATACAGAAGCTTCCAGAATATAAAAAAAAGGAAGTACGTGGGTGGGTGTGGGGGTCCCCTAGAGGTAATGCTTTCAGGTTTGAGCCTTTGTTAGCACAGGAAAGACACTGGGATAGAGAGGCATTCTCACACTCAAAGAATGAATCCTTCATGCTTTCTGAAGTGTTTGCTCTACTAGAGAACATACAGCAACTTCCTGGGGGCCCCAGGGTCCTCTACACAGCACTTGGGTACACTCCAGGCTTCTTGGGATGCAACCTGCTCCTGACTCTGTGAGCTATCACAAACCTAAGGATCACTACAGCGTGTTCCTGTGAGGAGTCACTCCAAAACAGCAGCAAAACAATCATGGAACACAAGGAACGTCCCTCTGTTATGCTCCTAAAGAGACGGGTAAAGTGTCTTATTCTCTATTCACTATTGTCTATCCGCTCTCAGAACTGCTCCTTTAAAATCCTTGGCAGCATCTCTGTGATTTGCATCAGCTCCTCTTGAGTGACAGTTCTCCTAGACACTGTATAACCTGTTCTATGGAAACTCTTAATTATATTATTTTCCTCTACAGAGTGTTATTCTTTGCTTTTTGTTTTAGCGAACACTTATTTTACTGACTTAAACAAACTTTTCAGACTGACAACTCAGATTTCAGTAACTATTTTGTCCACAGCTTACCTGCTTGGAGCCTGCCAGACCAGAGCCTTCTACCACGTGGGTCCTAAGGACTGAACTCAGGCGATCAGGTTTAGTGGCAAGTGCCTTTACCCACTGAGACACTTTGCTAGCCTTGTTCTCTCCCCCCCTCTCCAGCTAGAAAATATGCAGATTTTCTGTAAGTCACATTTTGTCTCATTCCCTTCTTCTAGTACCAATTTCACTCCAGAATCTACGAATCTGTGTCAATTTGGATGTCTTCACAAGACTGTCTTCATCCAGTTTATAACTGTGTAAGGCTGACAGCAGCAACCTACACTATTAACTGAAGGAAAATCTACACAAGTTTTTTTCTAACTTCACTTTTTCTCACAGTGCTGTCGTCCCTAATTAAGAAAAGGCTTTGCATGGATCACCTGTCACATAAAGAACCAAGGCTACATATACTTCCAAGGTGGCTTTTGCAAACTTTTCTGGTACCATGGTGCTTCTTGACTAGGTCCACTCTCTGTATCTCAGTTTCCAAGGCTTCTCTACACGGCTTCAACAAGTCATAGGAAAGCGGTCTCACGGAATCAGCACTTCCTACATAACTAGATTCTAAAAAGGGGGCAAATTAAAGATTATGCCACAAATGATACAAGCTTATGCCTATCATATGTTACTGTTCAAAGCAGTCACGTGGACTGGAAAGATTCAACAGGATGGAGAAATAGATGCCTCTATAGGAGTATAGTAAAATGACACTTAGAAATATGTATACAATAACAAGAACTTTTACATATGTCTTAGAAAATATAACCTACAGAAGACTTAATATTTAAATAAGCAAAACAAACACTGCCCATAGTAAATTCCCATAAGACAAAGAACCACTAGTTCCAGCTGGGCATGGTGGCACATCTTTAATCTCAGTGCTCAGGAGGCGGAGAAAAGCAGATCTCTGTGAGTTCAAGGCCAGCTTGGTTTAAATAGCAAGTTCCAGGACAGCTAAGGCTACATAAACAAAGACTATCTGGGGAATGGAGGGAGGTGGGTATTAATTCATTGTGAAGAATGAGACCTAAGCATCATGCCACTCTTTCAACAATATTAATGTTATGTTTTCAATATCATCGGCTCTGCAACGTTCAGTACGAAAGACAGAACACAAGAGGTTCTAAAGGCGGCCTCTCATATTTCCAGAAGCTAAATACATATCCAGTCAGAACACTTAGTTTTAAAGACTCAGGATAGGACACTATTCACCCATAATTGTAGGATGCACAGATCAAGGATTTTTCTAACAATAATGCCAGCTTTTTGGTTTTATTCGTTTTAAGACAGTCTTGCTATGTAGCCTAGGCTGGCCTTGAAGTAGTGATCCATCTGTTTGGTCTTCCCTGTGGCAGGGATAACAGGTGTGTCTCACCACACCTGGCTCCATGTTTCTGAAATGTCGATGACTAGAAAAATTTCCAAACTTATTAATGTCATTTGTCTGTTGCTTTTCTTTGTTGTTTTGAAGACCACATCTTACTATGTAACTCTGGCAGCCAGGAAATTGCTATGTAGAATAGGATAACCTGGAATTCAGAGAGATCCACTTGCCTCCAAGCCTGGCTGGTTTTGTTTTTGTTTTATTGACTGTTCCCTATATCATAATAGAGTGCTTAAATAAACAGACCTCAGACAAACACTGCTAATTTACAAGAAAGGAGAATGCCTCAAATACATTCAGGACAAAGACAATGCAAAAATCTATAAAAATACAGACCATAAAGCAAAAACCTGACATACAGGACCAGCCAGAAGGCTCAGTGGATTAAAAAAAAAAAAAATCACTTGTTGCAGATCCTCTAACCTACGCTTGATTTCTGGAGTGGATGGTGAAAGGAGAGAGCCAATTTCATGTGCGTGCACCTACACTGTTTCACACACATCTAACACACACCACTAAAATAAAAAGCAAAAAATGTCAAGTATGATAAATTGTGCTTATTTTTAGGAAAAAAGAAGTAACATACTATTTTGTTACACATTAACCACATTCTTTTCAATTAATTTTCTAAGAACTCACCTAAGATTTCACTCCCCTGCCAAGTGAAGGTATTCTAAATTCTAAACAGTATAGTCTAAACAAAGTTATATGTGACACATTAAGAAATAATCTTACTTTGTCCTGGTTTTCTTTATTCTTGTAACACAGATTTCCAATGAGACGAATGAGATGAGATTTAAACCCTTCAGTCATGTGTTCGATGTCACCCTCTGCTTTTAGAGAGTCAGAGGGACTGAAAATGTTCGTGGTATCTTTTCCAACAACATGAATCACCCGTAAAACATCTAGAGCAAAAGAATAAAGTTCATTTTCCATAAGAAAATACACAGTATCTAAGATTTCCATAAACAAACACAGTGGACTAAAATGAAGTAGACAAAGCATCTAATACTCCCTCAATAATGACTGGCGTGTGGGGCCCAGCACAGCAGCTGATCACCTGCCTAGAGTGCATAGGCTTCAGTTCATCCTCAGAACCACCAGAAATACAACAGCAGTAACAATAACCGGACAGCTTCTTTGCTTTTGCATTAATTTTTCTAGGTATCAGTTTGAAGGAAGCTGATTGTAACAATTAGCTTCACTTGGAATTTCTATTTATCCACAAAGGAAAGTTAACTAAAACGTTGCAAGCTTTTTCTTATAAAATGATTTTCAATTCCAATTTATTTATACAAAATCAAATGTGATAGCTAGTCAGGTTAAATGTAAATCCTAAGAGGTTTTTGGTAATTACTTACAGCTTTCTCAGTGGCCAATAATCAGCCTCAGCCATGGACTGACATTAGCTGTAATCACAGAAAATAATACTGCTATATTCTATGAACACTCCCAAGAAGCCTATGAAAATAGACTTCCAGGAGTTATCCATTTTCCCACATTATTTCATTTAACCTTCTGAACAAACCTATTAAATACAGCCATCATTTTCACAATTTTACAAGAAGCAATCAGACTCAGAGAAGTAGTAACATGGCAGAGATAGGATGGCAATCCATACTGGCCCTAGCTGCATGATTCCCAATTTGGTTATTTATTCTGATTATCGTTAAAAGTACTACACTCAAACTAGAGCTCTGGAATGGAATTACATGTCTTCTACAGATCACTGTTAGTTCAGTTACACTTTTAGATACAAAGATATCTTCCTTCTATATTGACATCTAGACAAAGTACCTGGTTTTTATTTTTCTTTTAAGTAAAATACTGCACAGTGACAAGCAAAACATAGGTTTGGGTATCTACATGAACGGAGGTTCTTTAGGACTTAATTTGCAAACAGCTTTCGAGTAAAGACAGTAATGCTTCAAATACTGGTTTCCTAATTATTAATTGTTAATCTTGTTACAAGATTAAATCTCTAACCTGAGTAAAACACTATTCTTTGCTTTTGGAAGTATAATTGGGGAAAACAAATTACCAGATTTTATAAATATAATTTATGGTATAATAAAACTTATTTGCAAATCCCCACCATCGGTTTCATCAAAAACATTCCCATAAGGTGACACTGCAGGCATCTGCAGAGGGGCCTGATTAGTCAACATCCTACTAAGGAGGACCCACGCTCCATAGCAGAGAAGGAACAACAATTCAGCCTCAGCTTAAGCACTTGAGCTGTTAGCATTACACCACAATTCTAGTCAAGGAAAAATTTCAAAGAATCTCAATTGAAAGCACCAACAATAAGGGTTTGTGTTTGCATTTATAGGACAGAGCATGTCAAGGATTTCTTAACTAAAAATACTATGTCTGCTGTTTCACTCACCAATCACTCGTTCCATCAGACCAGGAAAAACTTGTAGGTAACCAAGAAGCTCAGTGTGGGATGTCATTTCACACAAGACGTCCAGAAGCCGAATGGTAGCCAGTGCTTCCTAAAAAGATAAAGAAACCTCCTTGCTAGGAATCAGAGTTTTAACTTTGATTGTTATAGATAACAAGAGGATGAAATGCTGTAACAAGTACCATGCGACACATCTGCAGAGAAACACAAGTGTCCAGATATTCTGAAAGATCACTAACAGATGCATCAAGAGGGCAAAACTCCATGTCATTATATGTCTTCTTGGAGAAAAGAGTAGAGAAGCTCTTACTGAAGCAAAAATATCTTCCAACAGTGGGATAAATGTTCCAAAGCACAACCTATACATAATGCTTATGCAAATACTTTCTTTTAAAAGTACTCTCAGTATGAAAGTTACACTTTAAAGATACAAACATTCCATTAAACACATTAACTTCTTGTTAACAAAAGTCCTATAATGTCCCCAAGGTCTAAAAAACCACTAGTTTCAAGAACTTACATTAGCCCCGGGTAAATCTAAGCCTGTATGCAATGTATTTATTGGTAAGATGGAAAATATAATATTATTTGAAAATGCTAGCTCACAGCTACTTCATATAAATGGTTTATATGAAACAGAGGCACAATCAGAAAATTCCCATGTGCCAATTCTACGACATCCCAATATTCCAATATATTTTTCAGAGTTGTAATTTTTATATATTTTAAACCACACTTTTTCAAGTATATATTATTTGACAAAACATAGTAGCACCTATAAATTTAGGTCATGAAGATAAAATTCTTCAAAACAAAAGTTCTTTTTAATAATACTACTCTTTATAGACATTAGAAAAATTTAAGGCAAGTCTTGTTTTCTACAAATCTCAAAATAATATCAAGAAATAACAAACTTTAATGCCTTGAGTCTTTATTTCAAAGCTTACACGTGCTAATAAAAAGCTAAGAGGGATATAAAAAGATTAGATTCTAAGTCTGAAGTCAGTATCAGGGGTAAATCCATTAGCTCCACAATGCTTAAGCACTCTCTTCTGCTAAGCGCTGACAGCCCAGACTATCTCCTCTAGGTGACAAGTCTACTGGAGAAACAGCGGGTTGACTCAACATAATTCAGGCTGCTTCTCACTCAATGCTTCTGGCTTTTATGGTCACCTATACACACCCACACCACACACATATGATACATAATTAAAGGTTAAAAATTTATTGTCTTAAAACTAAGATTGAGATGGGGTGGGGGTGATAGCTCAGGCAGTGAAGTGCTTGCACATAAGCATGGGACCTGAGTTTGATCTCCAGAACACACGTGAAAAAGCCAAGTGTGCTCTTGTAATTCCCATATTGAGGAGACAGAAACAGGCAAAGCACTAGTGCTCATGATCCCCAACAGCTGCACGAGTCAGTGAGCTCCAGACTAGTGAGAAAGAGACCTCTTCTGGCCTCACTGGGAACCCATTCTCATGTGCATAAACACACTCATAAAATTAAAAATAAAATCCATCTTTTAAAAAATTTGTAAAGTGTTGCAGCAGCCTTCTAGTAGATTGGTGTGCCATTCAAAATACTGCTAAACCATTTTTAATGTACATACTCTTGACCCAGCATTTGGATTTTTAAGAATGTATAAACCCACATTTACTTGTTTAGAACTGCAGATATTTGTAGTTGTGAGCTACCGGTGTGTATGTGCTGGGAATTCAAAAGGTCCTCTAAAAAGTAGTACAGGCTGCAACCACTGAGCAATCTTTCAAGTCATTAAGAGAGCAATTTTTAAGTGATACACCAAAGCAATGTTGGCTTTATTATTTGTTTATTTATTTTAGTTTTTTAAGACAGTGTTTCTCTGTGTAGCCCTGGCTGTCCCAGAACTTACTCTGTAGACCAGGCTGGCCTCAAACTCACAAGTATCTACCTGCCTCTGCCTCCCAAGTGCTTGGATTAAAGGTGTGTACTGTCACCACCATCCAGCTAATGTTGATTTTTTTTTTAATAAAAGAAATTTAATGAGTATGGAGAATATATTAGGTGGGGTTAAGCCGACCTCCTTTTGGTCAATAACACAGATTCTAGGGGAAAAGAAAAAAACTATGTCTCTAATAGTGAAATCTTGTTCAACCTTTGAAAAACATATAGCAGGGCCAGTGAAGATAAAGGTGCTTGTGCCTAAACCTCAAACTCTGAAATTAACATGTTGGAAGGAGGGAAGCTGTAACTGTTTTGTTTTTGTTTTTGTTTTTTATTCTTTGGAGGCCCACCACCACCCAGTTCCCAAATAAATACACAGAAACTTATTCTTACTTATGAATACCCAGCCTTAGCTTGGCTTGTTTCTAGCCATCTTTTCTAACTTAAATTATTCCATTTCTTTTTAACTATGTTTTACCTATGGGCTTTTTATCTTTCTTTATTCTATATACCTTTCTTATCTTCTTACTCAGGGGCTAGCTGTGTGTGTGTGTCTGTTCCCTGGCATCCTCTTCTTTCTAATCCTTTTCTTGTTCTTTGCTCTTTTCAAGCCTAGATTTCACCTCCTATTTATTCTCTCTGCCTGGCAGCCTGACCTATTTCTCTATCCTACCTAGCTACTGATCATTCAGCTCTTTATTAGACCAATCAGGTGTTTTAGACAGGCAAAGTAATACAGCTTTACAGACTTAAACAAATGCGGCATAAAAGAATTCAACACATCTGTGCATCATTAAATGTTCCACAGCATAAATGAATATTTATATCTTAAACTAATATTCCACAATCAATTCCCCAAAGTTGTCCTGTGAACTGCACACTTACACAGACAAACACACACATCATACCTTACAACACCAAATAAATAAATTAATAGGTAAGTGATTAGCCTGGTGTAGGTGGTACATGCCTTTAATCCCAGCACTCGGGAGGCAAAGGCAGGTAGATCTCTGTGAATTTGAGGCCAGCTGGGTCTACACAGTGAGTTCTAGGACAGTCAGAGCTACACAGAGAAACCTTGCTTCAAAAAAACCACCAAAAAAATAAATCATTTGCAAAATTTTTTAAAGCCTCAATTTCTTTGAAAAAAAAAAGCACACAGTACATACAACATTGTGAAAAGGAGATGCAACTTAAGGTGGGAATGCACAAGGAAAGCCTTAGCACAATAACACAACAACAAACACAAACGCACATACCCACACATCCACACACGGCTCTGTAGAAAAGAAGTAGGGGATGGGCAAACCAGAAACTTAACTCTGTTTCATGGACATCAGCTAAAGAATTGTTTATAGAAAAGTAAAGCATGAGCAAAGTGCAAAAATATGATCTTTACCAGTTTGTGCAAAGATACCATTCTTACTCATATTAATTGCTAGTGCAAAAAGTTGTTTAATTTGGGGTTATAAGGAAATAGTAAGTCTCAAAGTGTACAGGAATCAGGAAATATAAATCTGTCAAAGGAAAGGCGATGCTCAAGACAAGTAACTGAGATTCAGTAAACTCAACCTTAAACTATGCCAAAATGGACTAAACAGGTACCAAAACCTGGAAATCAGTACCAAGAGTACATCAAAAGATGAGCACAGCCACCTTACCATGCAACTGCTTCTGTATGGAGACATGAAGAAAGCCTCAGTATTTTCAAACTCCACAGGCCAAAGAACTTCTATGAGCATAGCTATTTTCAATCATAGTCTTTTGAAAACTTTATTAATTTTATTAAATATTTTGTTCTTGTAGGAAATCAGTGTTGGCTTGCTGGTCAGTGGCTGGGGGAGATGAATGCAGAGCCCTGATATGCAGCACTCACTAACTTCCATGATGACCCTGACAACCAAGCAACAGCCAGTCCATAAAGTTATGAATAGCAGACTGTTAGAAGTCAGCATCAACCAGTTCCAGAATAAAACTTGAGAATACAGTATGTTGGAATACTGGATCAAGGGTCTTTTTCAAGCTCACTGTACCTTTTTCTATCTCAAAGTATGATACATGCAAATTAGCATATTTCCTCCTCCCTTACAGAAACTAGTTGAAGAAAAACACAAGCTACCAGTTCAATAAGGGACCCTGTTTAAGACAGTAAGGTAGAGGCAATAAAGGAAGACACCTGACATCCTGCTCTGGCTTCTTCATGCACCTCCATGGATATATACACCTGCACACTCCCATGCATGCAACAGAGGGGGGGTAGTGAGTGCAGGTATATCTCACTACAATGCTAAAACTTTTAAACACACAGTTCTTGTGAACAATTTAAAGTCAGTTGTGTTTTAATAAATACTCAATTTTTTTACTGTTTCCTAAAAATTAGTTTTTAATATATTTATTATATATTACATATATAATCATGCATTATACATAAACAATATTATATGTGTACATGATTATATACTAATATGTGATTATGTATTATATAAAAGCAACTTATATGTTATATTAAATAACATATTAACATAGTATGATACATATATATGTTGCTTTTCTCAAGGCTGGGACAAAATACCTGGTAAAAGTTACTAAAGGAGAGGTTTATTTTGATTCACACTTGGAGGGTTTGCTCCATCGTGGCCAGCAAGAGTGCTGACAAAAGCAGCTGTGGCAGCAAGAACACGAGTGAAGCAGCTGGTCCTCAGTCAGGAAGCAGAGAGAGATTAAGGCTAGTGCTCATGTGTCAACCTCTCTGTTCAGCCTGAAACCCCAGCTTATGGACTGATGCCATTACTTTTTAAAACACACCTCAGTGCTCCCCCTGCTGGGAACAGAAGCACCCATCTCCAGAAAGGTAAATCAATTCTGAGACTTTCTCCTGTCTTTCACAGGAAGAGAACTGCTGTCAACATGAAGGCAACAGCCAAGTGGCCTTAAATCCAAGCACAAGGAGGGCTGTGCACTCTCACAGCACTGAACATGACTTCAATCACACTGGAAATCAGGAATCTCCCATGATCACCCACTCTCCAGGATCTATTTTCTGCTTCTCTGCAAACCATTTCATGTTGTTTGAGTGTCTCCTACCTTGTCTCAAGCTGCTGTCAACAGCATTCTAGCATCAACCACTCCTTTCTCGATCACTCTTACCAGGACACAAGTGATCTATTATCTTTTCTAAAACTATATTTAAAATCGACTTCATTGAGATACGGTTTATACACAACATACACCTCTAAGCATACAAAACAGAGTTTGTCAAAGTACACCGCTATGAATAACATTTCACAAAGTTCCCTGTGTCCCTGTGGAAGTACTCTCACCCCCGATATAAACCCCAGCTAACTTGACCTGTGCTCTGTCATTATCCAGGAGTCTAGCCCACTACTAAGTCTCACAGAAATAGCATCCTAGTCTAGCTTAATCCACTTGCTCTCATGCTACTTTAGGGGCATCTTTCATGCTGTTCCAGAAGTGCTTTTATTTTGCTACTGAGCAGTTTCCAAGAGAAAACAATCCTGACTTTAACTTAGAGAGAAGGGTAAAGAAATAGGAACAAGCAGAGGTTCTCCAGTGAAAAGGCAGGGCTAGAATTATTGCCAACTAGCTTCAGCAGCCTTTAGTAGAGAAAGGGTTAGCAAAGGAGAATGTGAGACGGTTAACCAGGATGGGTGGGGTGGGGGAGCCCCAACCCTGGGAAGGGGGAATAACTTTGCAACAGCAGCTCAGAAACCTTTATTAAAAGGTTGTTGCTGTTGTTTTAGAATTTTATTTTATTTTAAAAGATCTATTTTTGTTTTATATGTATGAGTATTTTATCAGTCTATTATGTATACCATGTGCATGCCTGGTGCCCTCAAAGGCCAAAAGAGGGTATTAAATCTCCTAGAACTGGAGTTACAGATGGTTGTGAACTGTCAACTGGGTGCTGGGAACCCAACTCAGGTCCTTTGCAAGAGCAGCAAGAGAGCGTGGACACACAGAGTTGAACTACAGCACTGTTTACAGTGAGTAGAAGCAGAGACAATCTACATGTCTAATCACAGGGATGATCCTGTCCAATTATGAGTATTTGTTAAATGACCACTATGGAACTGACAAATAAATGGCAGAAAATCTATCTCTGTGTCTTTAACACATGTCTGTGTGTTATGATCTACTTAACTAAAAGTACCAACTAGAATTACTTTTCAAGACACTAACTTGTACTGGAAAAAGCAAGAGCATTGTTTCCCCTTATCTGTGTTTCTAAGTTCTAAATTAAAACCACCTATCACTCAAGGAGTACACTTCAACTTTTCAAGAGTGGTTGGAGAGGTGGGTTAACAATGAAAAGTTCTCCCAGAGGACCCAAGTTCAGTTCCTAACACTCACATAAGACAGTCTACATTCACCTGTAATTCTAGCTTTGGGGGATCTGATACCTTCTTTTGGCCTCCACAGGTACCCACATATATGTGGCACACATTCACACAAAACACACATATAAATAAAAACAAATCTTTAAAACCTTTTAAGAAAGAAACCTCATAGAGAACTTGACTGAACTAAAATCCTGTCTGTTCTCCCCTTCCAGGGCTATGAAATCTGTCTCCTTACCTTATCCTCTGTGTGAGGCTCCGAGATCAACTTTAGCACATTCCTACACTGATCCACAAATGAGTTTGCAATCAACTCGGCATGGCGCAAAAATATAGAGATGTCATCCTTCGTCAGCTGCTCGTCACCCACCAGCCTGGCTATCATAATGTCTAACAGTGTGACCCTGTAAAGTAAAAGTTCTGCATCAGTATGTAACACTTAGGCTGTATGGTACCAAGAATGACTTCAAGAGGACATTTTAAGAGTTACTTTCATTTTAAAAATTTTTAAATTTTATTTTAATATCTAGCTAGAAAAAACTTTTATTAATAAAGCTAATTATCAATTGCCTGTTTTTGAAGAAATGTTTAGTTTCTTCTATGTGACTTACTAGCAGCAAGAACTATCCAATACACTTTTTATATCCATTACTTTTAAGACTGAAAATAATTCAACATCTCAGAAAGGTTGTGAATTTAAGGTTTATGAATACATTCACAAAATAACAGTAGCAAAGTGAAGAAGCTAACACCAATCTATGCATTATACACATTATCACACTTAATCTTTAGAATAATATTAATTTTACATTAAAGATATGAGTATAAAATATCAAATATCTGTAATCCAGCAGGAACCCACTCTCCCATATAAAAACATCATACATATACATGCATGTGTGCACACATGTGTAAATGATTTTGTCTAATTCACTATCTGTCATGGCCATTTATTTTTTTTTTTTGTTTGTTTGGGGTTTTTTGTTTGTTTTGACAAGGTTTCTCTGTAGCTTTGGAGCCTGTCCTGGAACTAGCCCTTGTAGACCAGGCTGGCCTCGAACTTACAGAGATCCACCTGCCTCTGCCTTCCAAGTGCTGGGATTAAAGGTGTGTGCCACCATCACCTGACTGACATGACCATTTTTAATTCACTTGTGACAAAATAGGTACATACTCTCTCAAAATTATGATTTCTGTTGTTGTTGTTGTTTTAAATAATGAACATGCAAAAGACAGTGCAATTTTCTATAGCAAAAAAATACCCATTGAGTTATATTTAAAGTGACACAGGACAAACTATGGTTGTTAAAGTCACATATATGCAACCCTGAAAAGTTTTTAATGAGGACAAAGAATGAAGGTAAGAGGAGGAAAGAGTGTTTCATGAGCATTCTAGAGCAAGAAATAAAATATCTGAAATTGAAATTCAAAGACTGGTATCTCTACCAAGTTTTCAATTTAGATTTGAACTTCTCCAAAAGTGTGATCTGTTGAATACTATATGCTACAAAGGCCGAAAATGGTATTACCCAGAACAGCAAGCATGCTAACCAAGTAGAGGCAATAAATACTGCTGACAAACCTCCTCTGCACTTTAATAAGTTAAGCAGAATCACGGCTGGAGTATTACCTCAGTAAACATTACACTACAGAGTCTCACTCAAATCCCTAATCTGGAAAACACAATGCCCAAGTCACAGCCGAATATGAAATATCCCCACAAGACAGCCTGCTCCAATACTGAAGGAACACAAACCTTCATCCAGCAACTGATGGAAAGAGAGGCAGAGAACTGCAGCAGAGCTCTGGACTGAGCTCCCAAAGTTCAGCTGAAGAGTGGGAGGGGTAAAAATATGAGCAAAGAGGTCAAGACCATGACGGGTTCACCCACTGAAACAGTCTACCTGAGGTAATAGGAGTGTACTAACTCCAACTAGACTGGGAAGGAACAAGCATAGGACCAAACTAGTCCCTCTGAATGTGGTTGACAGTTGCATGACTGGGGCAGACTGAGGGGCCACTGGCAGTGGCACCAGGATTTATCCCTACTGTATGTGCTGGCTTTTTGGGATCCTATTCTCTTTGGATGTATACCTTGCTCAGCCTGAATATGGTGGGAAGGGCCTTGGACCTTCCACAAAGCAATACGCCTTGCCCTCTCTGAGGATTGGATGGGGGTGGGGTGGGAGGATGTGTGGAGGGAGTGGGAGGAGGAGAGGGAGTGGGAGAAGGGGAAGGAGTGGGGACTTGGATTGATACTTTTTTTAAAATCTAATAAATTAAAAAGAAAATTACTTGAGCCAGAATATGCTGGGGACAGCGACTGTTACCCCAGCATCTAGAAGACTGATAGGACAGAAGGAGCCCTAGACGTTCAAGGTTCCTCCTAGGTAAGGCCTCAGAGACAATGTATTGAAAAAGACAAAAAGGCTTCCATATTACACTTCAATTGTAAGAGGCCCCCAGACCTTAGCACAACTGACTCCATAATGGAAGTACCATTCAAGCCATAAAACCCAGCACAAAGACAGTATTACAATGAAAACAAAGACCTAATGCATCAATTTCCATAGTTTTGGGAGCATCTAAAAAAAATGTACTAACCTTGGTTTTTGGCTTCTGTAGTTTCACTTCTGGCTAACTGTTCTTGTTAACTGAAGTGTGTCAACTCAGGACATAGCTTTTGTGCTTAAAAGCTCACCCTAAGAAAGGCTTGGGGCTACACTGGGATCCCAAACACCCGGTGATGTCACTGACCAGCTCCAGCTAATAAAGATTTTCTATTGGCGAAAAGAAAAGAAAAGAAAAGAAAAGAAAAGAAAAGAAAAGAAAAGAAAAGAAAAGAAAAGAAAAGAAAAGGAAAGGAAAGGAAAGAAATACCCCCACACAATTTACACAGTGACACCTAAGAACAGGGCTGGGGAAACAATTAAATGCGTATACGAGCATTTGCTATGAAAGTAAGAGAAGCTGAGCTTTAATTCCTAACACCCACATAAAACCTAGCCATGGCCTTGTATGCCCATAGCCCCAAGGTGGGGGATGGGAGAAGCAGAGATAAGCAGAACTTGGGAGCCTGCTGGATAGCCAAAATCATAAACTTCATGTTCAGTGAAAGATCCTACCTATGAATGAATGGACGGATGGACGGATGGATGGATGGATAAATGGAAAGAAACTGGAAAGTAATAAGAGGAAGACACCCCAAAGTGCACACATATGCATGAGTGCACAGGCATGCTCTCATACACTTATACAAACACCATTCTATCACATAGTCTTGGTCCCTAGACAGTAATATTATTTTAGGAAATGGGAGAATTTTAGGAGATGGGCCTGGCTGGAGGAAGTAGATCAGTGAAGGCATGCCTTTGAAAGCCCATCAGGAAGTGAGCCACTTTACTCCCCAACATGCTCCCAAGCCTCACAGTGGCCCAGAAGCTAAACTACAGGCTCAAACCTCTAAAACTGTGAGCCAGAACAAATCTTACCTTCATCAGGCATTTGTCTTTGTATTCTCAGTGTTTGTCTAACCACTGCTTTCCAGAGATACAATTAGGAGAAAAGCCACAACCTCCAAAGGAGGAGGGAGTTATGGTTGCAGCACAGTACTAACCATAGAAGCCATAAGCAGAAATGGAAATTCATAGCTGAGCATGGGGGCACGTGCTTTGCGATCTTAGTCTCTAATGACAGGTTTTGAGAGGTCAATGCAGTCTGAGAACAGCTTAGGCAACATCGGAACAAAGGCGCATTCTCCCTACATTTACTGACTACTAACTACGCAAACACTGAGACCTTAATATATCATCTATTTAGGTAGTTATCGTAATTCCATCAAGTGACTATTACTATCCCTTTGCATAGATGAAACAGGGCTCTAAAAAGGTTAAGTAAGTGAGCCACCCAAATAGCACCTGCCCTTTGTTCCTGTGCTACATACATACATTAGAACCTGAGCACTGTGCACACTACCTCTAAAGAGCAACCTATTCTACCTAACAATTACATGGGCTCAGCAAGAACAGGGACCAGAAAGTGCATAATATTGGCTCTCATTATTACTGAATCATACCAAACAAACTGATTACATGTGTATTAAAAATTCCCTCACAAAATAATCTGTTCCCAATGGACTGTCAGCCCCTAGGTAAAAGAGTGAAACCCATAACAATGACAAGAAAGCGCAGATGAAGAGAGGACTTTGACATATGTACAGTTATTGGCCACACCACTCCACTAGGCAGGGAGTGTGCTCACTTGTTGTGGGAGTAACTTCCGCTGCCTCAATCAATAGTCGCTGAAATACGAGCCCACAGTGCAGCGGGGAGCGACTTCCGCTCCGTCAGCCAATAGCTGCTGAAATACCAGCCCACTGGGGCGTGGTATATTTCTCTTT